CATCGGAAACCACCCCCAAAGTTTGAAATTGAAGCATTATTTCGACTTGTTATGCTGTACACAGACACAAGAAAAAACACACAGCATTGTAAAATCAACTTCGTTCAGAATCTAAAACTTAAATACTTCTGGAGATAATAACAGATTACTGTTAAAATATTCATCCAGTGTATAATATTTATATTACATRTGACAATAGATATTTATATAATGGTTTATACAACTGATAATGAATCTTAGAAGTATTTTAATTTAAATTCTTTAGGCGAATTTACAGTTATCCCTAACGTTTTATGATATACGGTAGCCAGTAGGAATACACAAAAGACATAGGTAAGTGGAGTAGATTTGTATTAATATTTTGTAGTAGATTTGATCTACTTACCAACTCTATACGGGTTCATTGTTAACGCGTATGTCTTAATGCTCGAACAAAGTGTGTTTTAATTAACATTTTCATCATAAATAAAAATATTGCTTTGTAGTTCAACGATTATCATTTGACCTAACACTTATGGCATTATTTTAAATGTTTTATATTTTATGTGTCATGACTCAAGTAAGGTTACCCAGAAATGGTAGCTTTTTCCTCCAGTTGGTCCGTAATATTAGTTAATTTATTYATTTTTATTTTTGTATAATATATGTGCAATTATATTATTTTGGAGGATATTATTATTTATCTTCCATACAACACTTTGCGCGTGTTATGAATTATAATGTTACGTCATACTTTTTATATGAATGAAAAAAATAGCAGATCAAATAGAAATACTTATTAATATTCTAGTACAGTACTAGTCACTCGATAATTCGAAAAACTCCTTAAATCGAACTAAATTTTATTCCACGAACCTCTATAATTCGAATCAAAATCTTGCTATCAGTAAGTTAGAGTAGTTAGACAACGCTATACCAGTTTGTGGCCAGCAGTTTATTATATAAAARAAAAATAAAAAATTTCTTTAATATGTAATGTATAATAATATGTATCTATAATAAATTAATGTAATATATGTACAATGTACATACATACAATTTTTCACCTCTTTTTTATTTGAATTAATTCGAACACTCGGTAAATCGAAAGCCTCTATAAATCAAATTTTTACCTCGATCCTTTGAATTTTGAATTCTCGAGTGACTACTKTATGAATTATTAGTTTATATTTTCTTATTAAAATATTCAACAACGATTATTACCAAGTTATAAATGTATATAATTTTTTTCCATTATTCACTCCAAAATTACATGAGCWCATCTGAAAAATATTTTTTAGTACACAGTTAGGATCTAAGCTCGCTGAGCC